TCTGCCATAAATAAAAGAAAGGCATTATGGACTGCAACACATCCACTGCCCACCCTGGCTTACCCTCAGAGGAAAGTATAACCTGTTCAAGCTTCCTTTTAGCATTTCCTAACTTTTGAACACTTAACATTGCAATCTATGTCCTTTTAACATAGGGGTTTCTTTCATTTTTATAAATTAAATTTTTTTAAAGGATCCAAGTCTTAAATGATTTGAACTCATAAACTAATTAATGAACTGATTTGCAAATTCTCAGAGACTGTTTGTGCTTGAGAAATACACAGCTGTAAAATGGCTGAGGGCTAGACACTGAGTCTCATATAAAGTGTCTCACTGACACTTTCTCATATAAAGCTAAGTGACAGAGTTAAAGCTTAAATTGCAAAATAGCACTGAGCCTTAACTACAGCCACTACCTTAACTACAGCCTTACCTACCACTGCTACCTTAACTGTAGCCTGAACTACCAGCTGCTACTGGAACCTGTTTCCTCAGTCTTTCCTTGCGTTCCTTCCCTGTGTGATCTCTGCCTGTCGCTTCCTCCACTCAGCACGCTCTTATGTGTGTCCTTCTCCTGAAGAGCTCCCTTTATCTATTTTGCTACTCCTCTAGTTTTCCCCTTCATCTCAGCCCTTTGCTACCCAGCATGGAGGGAAAAGCAGAGGGAGCCTTTTGCACTGGTGGCTAGCTTTGGTCTCTGAAAGTCAGCTTGGAGATAGTGATTATTGGTGGGGGGCGGTAAGGAACTCTAGCGTCTAAGCAGCAGCAAAAACATCAGCTAGGCACAAGAGGACTTCAGTGCACCTGTACTGCCTCCTTTATCAAGACAACTTCATGCACAAGAAAAATAGGCAGAAAGAGACCTCTTCTTCCTTCTCTACAGAAACACTGCCTCCAGCTGCAAGGCCTAAAAAATAGCACTCAAAGAGCTATTCCTTCTTCCCCAAATAGTACCGTCTTAAGGGATGGGACCAAAGGACCCTGACATGGGCACCCATCTTTAATGGGACCTGGGAACCTGTCAGGCAGTGTGAGTGCTGTCAGAAATCCAGTTTAATACCTGGCTTGCCACATGATGTAGAGGGATCGTAAGAAGTCAACTTTCCCTTTGCTTCCTGATGAACCAGCTGCTTCTCTGGAAAAGCAGCTACCAGGTATTCACTGATAAATCCTACGTGGTCAATTGATTTTTGTGTGCACAGTGCAGGTCTCTTGTTACCTATGCAATGAGTCTGGTAGATCTGAATTGCTTGCAGAAGTGACAGACGCATCACATCTGCACTGCAGATATGACAGTGGTTGTCTCAGACCTACTGTAGCTGCACAGGATCTTGATGTGCACAGTAGCTACTTTTCTAATTTTTTAGGTTTGTAATGCTGAAATTCGGGGTAGTTATATCAAGGATATATGCATTTCTCTCTGAGTGAATGACTTATCTGTTAAAGATTGTCCTGGATTTCACCACTGCAACTTTGGCTTATTTGCTGTGGTTGAGATCCCACATATATGCTTTGATAAGGACCCCAAAAGTCCTTAGGTGACCGTGTCCAAGAGCCATAGCTGTGGCATGACCATTCAGAGAGCCCTTCCTGTTCCAGGCAGACTAGCTTGGGAAAATCAGCATCATCCTTCAAATAAACACTGCCAACATTGGCACTTCTTTGCAGCAGCACCTGCGGGCAGCAACTGCTTCTTGATCTTGCTGAGTGATATACTTATTTGTTATCAAGGGCAGATTGTGGCTTTTGCTGCACAGCGATGTAGCTGAAAGATGAGGCGATGGCCTAGGGGAAGAGGCAGGGAATGTCGCTTTGACACACATATATTGAATAATTAGTGATAAGAACCAAAGAAATATTCATGACTCTAAAGAAAGATAAACAGATTTTTGATTAAATTTCAGTTTTCTCTTTAAAGCAGTTGAAGTTGCCATGTGATTGGCAGCATGGAAATGAGTTTTCTATGGATTCTGGCTGGCTGGAGGATCCCATTTAGAGCTGTTAGCCAAGATAATGCTGCAGATACCTAGCTGCTGTGTGCTGGCAAAAATTCAGAATGGCTATGCCAGAAACCTGTGCTCTTTGGGCAGTTGCAGTGCAGCTGTTGAATGATTGAATTAGTCCAACCTGTTCTCTCCAAGCTTTATCCATGCAGCCTACCCAAAAATATATCCCAGGCCCACCAGACACTTTACTTCACTATTTACTTAGCTGGCTTAGCTTTGAATGAAAGTGTGGCCAGTTTCTTCTGTGGTTCCCTAGAACTTCTTTGCCATTTTTTGTTTTGTTGTTTGTTTGTTCTGTATTTTTTACATGATAGAAGGGGATATGTTATATGACAAGTCATATGATTGTATGAGAGTTTGAAGGATTTATTTCAGCGTTTGTCTGGCCATTCTCCTGGGTTTTCGCAGAGTTTCAGTGATGCCATGTAAGAAACCAAGCAGATTCCGTTGCACTCCAGCAGACATCAGGGAAGCATAACGCTTTAAGGGCATTTGCTGGTGGGACACATGAAAAGTTATGTACTTTTCCTGGGGTCTTCACGGCGCTTTCATTATTCTTCTTTCAAAGAGTATTACTATAGGAAGCTATCAAAGTGATTGTATTCCTCAGTATCCTTAAGAGTTCTGGAATCTGTCTCAGGTAGAGTCATGGTATGCAAACAAAAAGTCAGGAGCAATCTGTAAATTGAGATATTGACTCTTCCAGTGCACCGCAAATGGCATGTGCACCCAAACAACATTGTGCTGAAGGAGGCTGAACTATAGAGAGTACCGTGCAGGATTTGAGAAGTCTGGTTTAAGTTTCCAGCTCAGTAACAGATACCATCTGTAGCAGCCATTTATGTACCGTGTGTCTCGGTTCATCATCTGTAAAAAAGGCAGTGGTAGCATTGTACCTGACAGAAGCTAAAACGCGTCCAAGACTGAGAAACTTCGACACTGTTAGTGAGAGGAGCTCAACAGTTACCTAGATTGTGGCTTCGCTTCTTTGTTACCTCCTGATATGTTTTCCAATAAACCTAATGTGACTCAGCCATACAGAACACGTTAGAACTAATCTTTCTATTCTGAGGTGACTAAGTTGAGCAAACGTCCATGATCTGATGTAGTCTGTTCCTATACTCTCTTTATCACAAATTTTTTCCAAATTGAAAATTTGTGCGATGTGAACAAGTACATAACATAAGTAAGGGAGCCATTCAGTAGCTCACTCAGTGACCTCACTTTCTCTCCAGCAGTAGTCAGTGATGTGCTGCAAGTCCTCAAAATAACCCAGTGCTTAGTCAAGAAGCAATAATAGTACCATTACTGACTACTTTAGCTTTATTTCATTATTATTATTGTCATTGTGCTCTTCATTCCTGCAGAAGTTTTTGTCCTAAAATGTCAAAACATCGTACAAATCCCAGTGAATTCAATCTTACAAAACTTTTGTGAGATTGTGAGAGAGAAAGCAGTAGTAGTATTGCTCCTGTTTTAGTCAGCAGAGCAGACTGATGGTGAGAGTCTGATCTCCTTTTTGAAACTGGGGCCAGATGCAACTTTTAAAAGATTTATCTTAAGTAACCTTTTTGAAGTTCCTGTGGCTGCCCGTGACAGAGCTGCCAAGAGAGCCCAGATAGTCTCTCCTATCCATTAGGCACAAGTCCATTCTTTCCAGTCTCCCGGAGCATCCTGGGACCAACTCTGTCTAGTTCTCTGAGAGAAGAGCCTGGTTTTCGTTATCTGTTTTGATTCGCTAATCTAGTTTTATAAAATCTGGTCTAAATTAAGGTATTTGGGTGACTACTGAACAAAGAGGCCTGGTTAGAATACATATGATAACCTCATAAAGAGAAGGTTTCATTAAATATTGTAGTAAACTTCCAAAGTTCCATCTTTCCTAAAATTTGTGAGATCTCAGTTGTGGATTCAATTACATTTATCTCTCCTTGCTTAAGCTTTGCTTTCAAGGTGGCTGCAGTCCCAAGCATATCTTGAGTTTATTAAGATAGTCAGCCCAGAGCTGTGATACCAAAGCAGGACGTTCCATGCGCATGGGATGCTCTTTTGCGATAAGTGTAGTGTGCACGAAAATCTCACTGGGCGTTAATGTAGCATTGTAGCACAGAGATAACCTCACTGTGCTCCTGTTTTACTCATTGCGTTGTGAAACTGGTGTTGTCCAACTACATTTAGGTTTGTTGCCAGAAGCAAATGCTCAAATGAGTACAGGCTCAGTGACTGCTGGGAGGTGTCAGTATAAACGATAGTGAGATTTGCACGTGGGCCTCAGAGAGTTTGCATCCCTTTTACTTTGTCAAGCTGCCTTTAATGAAGGCTATAAAATAAATAGCCATGGTTATAATCTTTAGGGATTAAAATGATTACCTGGCAAGTTGAAGTAATTAACTGTTCTCAGCTAGGAATCAAGCCAGAGATATATGGGTGGAAGGATGTGAAAAGAATATATTAACTCAGTAAGTATTAGTGCTGCTGTCCGTCCTTTCTGTTTGGTTTTGTTTTGTTTTTTAAGGGAAAAAAAAAACTCATAGGTGGAAGTCATGCATTGACAGCTTTTATGACCACTGGAGTAACTGAGAGTAATCTTAGCAGGAGAGATACAAAGATACAAGACGTGGTTTAGATGTGTGTGCTTGGTCTGAAAACGTTTTTTTTTTTTTCTTCTTCTCTGAAAGGCTATCCAGTGTATGCCTTCCTTTTAGTACGGGATTAGAGTTAGTAGGCCTGGAATTCTATATAATCATCCTCCCTTCCTTTCTAGCTTTTAAAAAATTCACAGTACTGTCATAGAATTTTGAATTATGCTGGTTCTTGAAGCCAGCCACTTTCCGAGTTTGTCTTAGAAGTGTGTTTTCATTAAGGTAAGGAAGAAAGTGCTGTTTTTTCCCACTTACATTCTGTAGAAGTGAGCCAGTCATCATCAAAATGGAAATTTGGATAATCCATAAATACCAGGCTCTCACACTCTCATTTCATGTGTTTTTTTTTCAGATCACCACATTATGCCTGCCCTGAAGTAATTCGGGTAAGTTGGTTAAAATCTGAGCGTACCTGTTAAAAATATGTCACTTATTGCATGTAGGCAGCTAGATCCTCTGTACACGAAACCTGTGCAAGGCAGACAGCTTTGGAAAGGACATAATGAATTTAACTGTGATTTTGCTTGTTTGGCTTGGCCTTCAATCAAGCCACATCAACAGTACAAGGGAAACTGTTCCTATGTTATTCTCGGGAATACCCTACGTGCCATGTGATCAGCCAGAACTACAGTAGCCTGATTTAACTTGATCTTTCCAAGGACTGCAGTCTCCTACACTTTCCCTTTGCTGTTATATCTGTCATTTCCACAGAAGAATAAGGGTTGGCTATCAGTGATGTTGCGGATTTCTGTTAAGCAATACAAACTATCCTTTCCCTCTACTCCCCCTTTGTCCTCTTACACTGAGTATCCAGGGGGTTCCAGGGGCCGGGATGCCTCCCTTTTGAAACATCGCATTAATATAAAGGTGAACTGGAAGAGTACAGAAGAGACTCTCAGGACAGTACTGCAAGTTCGCAAATAACATGACTGCTGACAAGCTCCCTGCAGAACCAATGAGGAGAAAAACAGCTTCTTGATGCACCTTGCACTCTGTTTAAGCACCAGTCCTAATCATTTTCACATCATAGACCATTCCTGCCCTGCTCCCCACTTCTGACCCTGTTCTTGCAGAACCCAGATAAAACTGTTAATAAAACTTCAATTAATGGGCTGTGTCGTGGCCTCCTAGTTGGGAAGATCTCCTTGGGAAGCAGGTGGATGAATTGAAATACAGGGTTTCCCATTCCCCTCTCTCTGGTTCTTCAAGGATAATGAATTCATTTACTAGTGAGCGCTCTTTTGAACTTCTGTGTCATTGTTGCGCAGGGAGAAAAATATGATGGAAGGAAAGCAGACGTCTGGAGCTGTGGAGTCATTTTATTTGCATTGCTAGTGGTGAGTCATCTTCCTTGCTATAGCCTTTAAAAAGAGAAATCCAAAAATGCTGCTGTATTTAATAGTGATTCTATTGACATCATGCATAGTTGGGTTTTTTTAGTTCCTCTATTTTCTCAGTTGCATCCTTTCTTCTTATTTCTACATGAATCCCAAAGGAAAAGCTTGAAAAATATTTCACTGCTTCTTTGAAATGCTTCTGCCCTGCACAGCAGAGCATAGACAAGTGTCAAAGACTTGCCTCCCTTTTTTGCTGTGTTGTGATATTGCAGCACTTTAAAGAACCCCATTCAAAGCACATTGAAGTTTTTTGGCCCAAAAGGATGTGCAGGGTTACAAGTACATGATACAAGGAATGTCAGTCTTTCACAGTATGTAAATATATGTTTCAGTAGGTATATGCATACATTAAATGTAATATTTTATCAAGAGAAGAATTAAGTTCAACAATTTTGTTTCATGCAAGTATTGAGCTACATTTTAATTTAGCATACTTGAGAATATAAAATTGAGCCAAAAATATAAAGTTTAAATTAGTTTCCATCTGGCTTAGCAATACTTTCCTTAGTATTCCAAATGTAGTATCTCAGAACTTATCCTTGATTCAATCAAAGTTTATTCTCTGTAGAATTTATTCTGATTTACAGGAGGGATGTAAAATTCCCAAACATACAACAATCGGATGTCTGTATGAAAGCAGATGGGCTTGGCATTTGTTATGAAAGTCCATATTCCATCGTATAGGAATAATATAGGAATACGTCCATAAAATAGGAAAATATAGATTATGTTCACATAAGCAAGGAATATATTACCATAGGCAGATTTAATAGTGTGTATGAGGATAGATTTAATATACCTGTTAATTTTTTTTATATCTAAAATAGTTCAGATGATCATCCACAGTTACAACATAACAAGCTTGAACTCAAATTTAGATCTCATTGTACATGTATTAATAAACCTAGTTACTAATTCTTCACTTAAACTTTTGATTTTGACAAAAGTACTTATTCACTGAAACTGTAAACCTTTTGCAGGAGTTAGATTCTGCTCATTATTTTTGCTTAAAACACTTGAAAATTATCATGGAGTCTTTTTTCAAGATTTATGCTGATAATTTAAAAAATGGCCAAAACCAAAATATCTTGAAATAATCTCAGTATGATGCTTTAAATCACCTTAACCAATTTTGCAAGGGAGGACTTTTAATTATCTCACAAAATATCAACTGGTCATCTCTTGCTCCTGAGCACATATTTTCATGGGTGATGAAATAGAACTATATAATGGGCTCTTAATACAGCTTCTCCAGTTTTAGGAAAAGAAGAAAGAAGGTGGCAAGATGGTTAGGATTTGTAGGAGGGAGCTTTTCCTTTTCCTGTCAAGATTTGGTGTCCCTCTGTTGCTGGGAAACATCTTCATCTGTTCCTACAAATATACATGAGCCTACAAAGCGGTTGAAATAAGTCTGTTACTGACAGAGCAGACATCTCTAGTTAATTTTGTCAGGACAGATCCTATGAAAAGTCCCAAGCTGTAATAGCAGGTGGTAGTAATAAAAGAACTGTGGTTGTTACCTTCAGGAAATGCCACCAAGCAGCCTTGCTGACTTCATCATGGATTAAATTGCATTAGCCCAAGTACTGAACTATCAGAATTGATTTTCCTTTAAGTCTGGAACAGTTAAGAGAAACTTGAGATAACTCGAGAGATTGGTTACAGAATATGGGGAGGCTCACTCTTTGAGACCGCCTGAATGAACAAACAAAAGGAAATAGTGCCCAAGAGCAGTTACCACCAGGTGGGCTTTCTCAGGCTTCTGCAAATGGAGCCGTTGGTCTCAGTAATCGATGTAGACCCAGGATTGATTATACAGGTGCAGTACTCACTGTAGTAAGAGCGATGCCAGCATTGACAAGTGGAAACTTCATTATCACAGCAGCTGACAGCTTGCAACTTCCCACAAACCTTCCTGGAAATCAAGGAAGCTCAGCACCAACTAGAATTATGCAGTGCAAGAGGGAAGTGAGACAGAATATCCAGGAAGACACAGGCTTGCTATAAAAGGAAATCAGCTTCAGTCAGTGGCGTTATCCTAAAGATTTCTTTTCTTTCTTTTCTTCTTTTTGTCCTTGCAGCAAGGATAGATCTTTTGCTGCTCTTTGTGGCAAGCTGATGATCTATTCAAAATGTAGATTTCAGCTGAAAAAACTCAAGGCATTCTTATAAGCGAGCTACCATAGGGAAGCAGTAGGAACTGATGACCTGGCTGCATCATGGGAATTGGATGGAATAGATTAAACAGGTAGAATATCTGCTGCTTCCAAAGGTCGATGTTGGTTAGGGTTTCTTTCAGCTATGTCACTCCATTGCCTCAAGAGAAAGAGGGTGTTCTTTAATGAAAGTCTCTCAAATGCTGTTCACCTCCTTTTCAGCGTTTGCAATAAATGTGTCTCAGGAAGATTAGAAGTAAGGAGATGATAAACATTGCTGCGGTGAAAGTATGCCCAGGAGCAACACCAACTGATCAAAAGCTTGAGCTGAATTTAAGTGAATCCATGCATCTTTGGTGAATTTGCCTGGAAAGGCAATTTCATATTTTGTATTATGTTTTCTACCGGTATTCATTTTCTAATTAAAGGTTTAATAGAAAAAACTGTCCTCAGTTTTCTCCCCTATATTGGAGAAAATATAGCAGCACTAAGAAATTATTTGTTTTCAATGGATAAAAAGTGTGTTTCACTTTTTATAATAATTCAATATGAACTAATTTTCTCTTTTCCTATCCCTTATTATCTTTATCCTGACTTTTCTCCTTTTACCCTCTCCAACTCTCTTTCTCTCATCCCTCCTATCCACAATTCTGTCACATCCCTGCAGGGAGCCCTGCCATTCGATGACGACAACTTGCGGCAACTGTTGGAGAAGGTGAAACGTGGAGTGTTCCACATGCCACATTTTATCCCCCCAGATTGTCAGAACCTCTTGCGGGGGATGATTGAAGTGGATGCCTCGAAACGTCTCACGGTAAGAAGGCATTTGCTGCAAATCATGGGATAAAGACTTCATTTGTCATCTCGTTGTAGTTGTGGTTAACTGAGATAACTTGCTGATTTACTGCCATTCCTGTGCATTTCCTCCTAACAAAGAATGAAGGGAATTGAAGAAGTCTTTAGGAAGAAGCTAGTTGCCTTTTCTTGTGAAGGATGAGGGCATATTACTTTTGTTTCTCTAACTTCATAATTCACCTTCGTAAGGAAATGGTGGACGTTTAGAGTAACTCCCTCACCATGTCATCACAGCGCAGCTGACATTTGCGCATTTTGGAGTCCACCCGAGTAGTGTGGTTCTCCTGGCTAATATACCAGCTTGTCAGGGACATGATATAACTGTTTGAAGGTCAGAACTGCTCGGACTGTTCCTTGAAGCTTTGCTTTTTAAAGGGCTAAGCTTTTCTTACATTTCTGACTAAAACTGTGGCTTCTCACTTGATGCCACTCAGCCTGCATTGTATTCTGTCCTGCATATGTTCTGCATTATCCTCCGGCAGCCTTCAGAGCAGGTGTCCTCTAACCTTCTAGTTCGTGTTGCGTCCTGCGGTCCTGAGTATGGGTAGGCCCACAGTGTTGAGCTCCTGGCAGTCAGCACTGAAACTTTGCATCTAGGATACAGCCCATCATTACAGCAGAGGCCCTGCAAGGGTGAGCACTGTGTAGTGATTGTTTCCTTCATTAACACTGCGTTAATGTTTGGAGAAATTAAAAAAAATTAGCAATTAAAATCATTTTGGAAAGCAAGATTGCCTGCTTGTCAGTGGAGGCTTCTGCCTTTATGGGTACATTGCCCTTGTAAATCCTTTTGTCAGGCTCTGGTGATGATTTTATACAGATTTACTAAGCTCACAGATTCTGAGTGGGAGTATGTATAAAGAAATGTAAATTTAAAACTCCTCCTGGTTCTTCAGCCTGCTAAAATATTTATAAATAAACTCTCAGATCAGTGCTTGGCCTCTCTGCCGAGATTGCGAACAACAGCATCAGTCTACACCAGCTGTGACAGTGCTTTTGGGATGCAGACACCTGTATGCTAAGAAGTAAACTGAAACTCCCTTCACAACTCTCTTTACAATGTTGCCTGACAGCTGCAGCTGCATTTTTATTTCATTCATTATGAAACCAGGTCATGCTCTGTTTGGTGTCTTAGGTGAAAAGTTCTTTGTGTTATTACTAGTATCCTTAACTATTCAAACCTGATAGACATCATATTGCAGTACATGAGTATCGAGTGAAAAAAATTCTGACAAAAATGTTAGGCACAGAAAAAAGGCCCTTTTTTAAAGAAAGAAAAACAATATTTTTTCAGTCATTTTCGTAAGGATATTTTCAAAAAATCCTGCAGAAGTTAAGGCTGCATGCTGAGACATGAAACAGCTTTTTTTATGACTCTACCTCAATTTCCTTTCCGTAAGGTAAGTATAACTTGTTTTTGCTGCCTCACAGATTCAAAAGAACAAGGCGATAAGGGCAACAGGAGTAGGGGCCGCAGTGAGCAGGCAGTGAGTAGACAGAAGATTATGGCACATTGTGCCTCTGAGGTTATAGACTGCAACTCGTCTTAAGAAATCCACCACAGTGCAGAGTGGTTGAAGTGTTCATATTTTTCTCTCAAGGATCCCGCTGCCAGTGGTTTTAGAATGCCAGTGAACGAAACATCAGACTTAATATCTTCTTTAAAATGTCAAGGCTTGAGTTTTGCTATAGCGCAAGGCTAGCACTTGAATTTCCTAGGAGTGCCTGGATGTTTTGAATTTCGTAATACGGCAGAGAAAATACACAAGCAGAAAAAAGGTTAAGATAAATTAAGATCACATAGTGACCTGCCCCTTTTCTTGATCAAAAAGAAACTCTTATTTCCATAGGGAAAAAGAAAACAGATGGGATAGTTATTGGCAAACAGTAACCAGTGAATTGTGAATAAGAATTTGAAATGAGATGTATTCAAGAGCTGAAAGGTGGGAAGAAAAAGGAATAGCTCTTTGTTTTTAGTTGCAATCTTATTTTCATTATTTTAGGGTCTCTCAATTTGCTGCTTCTGCTTCCTGCTGCTATCACACTTCCCTTTCTATTCTGTTAGCTTAGATTACCAGGCAGAGGGATCGCTTTATTTAATGCACAGGAGCAGGGAGAATATAGTTCGTTTTGAGCTATCTGAATTCTGTTTCGGCTGCCTCCTGTGAAAAAGGTGTAAATATGGGTCTATATGGAAGCCTCTATTCTTGGCAAATAGCTCACTTGAACAATTTGATATTTATGCAAAGATCTAAGGAAAATTGTGGCTTGGGTACTATATGTACAGTTGTACCTGTTACCATTACTGATCGTTTGTTCAATATCTTATTGGTGAATTCAACAGGAAAATATAGTGAAGTTTAAGGTCACTAGAAATATTTTTTCCTTCCCCTCTCTGCTTTGTTCCTTTTTTTGGTTTGTATCTTTTCTCTTTTTCATCCAACTGCATTTCCCTCCCTGCAGTAATTGCCATTTCACAGCACACCCACACCTTCCCGAGTCCATCTGTTAAAATGATCAACAAAAACAGAGCTAGCATTCACATTTCACTGTCATCATTCGGCTTCAGTGTTATAACTTGAGAGGATTAATGGAGAGGAGGGTATTCAGAATTATTGCTGTTGGCCCTTTCCTGCCTTAGGAAATTGGCGTTACCTTTTCTTGTGTGTGTTTCATTTATGGAAAGAGGACTTCACTATGTCTTAATGGAATATTGTTCAGGCTCTCCAGATACTGTGTAGCCTGAGGTATGTTTAGTGGGTCATGCTTGACTGCTCTTCTTTACTGGGCCCATTTAGCTAAACATACTTTAAGTAAAAGAATCTATGTTTTCCATGCAGTAGACACCATGCAAAAGGAGATCCTAGCTGCTGGTCATGTTGTATGTGTTTCTGACCACCCGTGTTTAGGAAACATTAAATCAAACTGGTACTGGTGCAAAGACTGACTGCTAAGGTAACTGGAAGATTGGAGAGCCTGTATGAATAGCACAGTCTAAAAGAGCTCAACTTAGTCCACTGAAACGGTGTCTCAGAAAGGACGTAC